AATACTGATTATAACAACCACGTCGCCAGTTAACAACCACGACCGCCCAGTTATAGCAACCACGACGCAGTTATCGCAGCCACGACCGCGGTTATAACAACCAGGACCGCAATTCCTCGCATAATTCCGCAACAGCACGACCGCCCAGTTACTTAAGCCACGACCGCCCGATTATAACAACCCGACGTTTTATAACCACGACCATGATTATAGCAACCACGACCGCCAGTTATAACCACGACCATGATTATAACAACCACGACCGCCCAGTTATCGCAGCCACGACCGCCCAGTTATAACAACCACGACCGCGAATTACCAACAACCCAGGACCATGATTATAACCCACGACCGCAGTTATAACAACCACGACCGCGGTGCCAACAACTGGGACCGCGGTGCCATAACCCGATACGCAGTTATAACAACCGACCATGATTATAACAACCACGACCGCGGTGCCGCGCCCGACCATGATTATAACAACCACGACCGCGTTATAACAACCCAGGACCAAGATTACTGCTAACCGACCATGATTATAACAACCCGACCATGATTACAACAACCAGGACCATGATTATCGCAACCACGACCGCGATTCTGTAGCGACCATGATTACTTAACAACCCGCGACCGCCAGTTATAACAACACGACCATGATTATAACAACCACGACTATGATTATAACAACCGACCATGATTATAACAACCACGACCAGTTATATAGCCAGGACGCGATTATGGCAACCCGCCGCCATTTATAACAACCACGACCATGATTGCAACAACCAGGACCGCCAGTTATACATAACCCACGACCATGATTATAACAACCATGACCGCCAGTTATAACAACCCGACTATGATTATAACAACCACGACCATGATTACAACAACCCAGGACCGCGATTATAAGCCACGACCGCGGTATAACAACCCGACCGCCCGAGTTACCAACAACCACGACCGCCAGATTATAACGCGATTATAACAACCACGACTATGATTACCATGGCGACCGCCCAGTTATAACAACCAGGACCATGATTATAACAACCCGACCATGATTACAACGCGCCGACGCCAGACGCAACCACGACCGCGATTATCGCAACCCACGACTATGATTATAACAACCACGACTATGATTATAACAACCGTACAGTTATAACAACCCGACCATGATTATAACCGGGACCATGATTATCGCAACGACCGCAGTTATAACAACCACGACCGCGGTTATAACAACCAGGACCACTTGTTGTCGCAACCACAGAGCCATGATTATAACAGCACGACGCGATTACCAACAGCCACGACTATGATTATAACCCGATATGATTATAACAGCAGGACCACCCAGTTATATAACGAGCACCATTATAACAACCGACCATGATTATAACAACCCGACCACCAGTTATAACAACCACGACCATGGTATAACAACCACGACTGTAAATTATAACAGCATTATGAATTCCTGGCCAACCAGGACCATGATTATAACAACCCACGATACGCAGTTATAACAACCACGACCGCCAATTGCATAACAGCACGACCATGATTATCGCAACCCGACCATGATTATAACCACGACCATGATTACCAACAACCAGGACCGCCATTATCGCAGCCACGACCATGATTACTTAACTTAGCCACGACCATGATTATAATAGCCGACCGCAGTTATAACAACCACGACCATGATTATAACAACCACGGCCATGATTATAACGCCACGACTATGATTATAACAACCGACCGCATTACTGCCACGACCATGATTATAACAACCGGGACCATGATTATAACCGATATGATTACCATAGCGACCAAGACCTCGCAACGCGACCGCGATTATAACAACCACGACCATGATTATAACAACCACGACCATGATTATAACAACCACGACCATGATTATAACAACCACGACCATGATTATCGCAACCACGACCATGATTATAACAACCACGACCATTATAACAACCACGACCATGATTATAACAACCACGACTATGATTACTATAACAACCACGACCATGATTATAACAACCACGTCCATGATTATAACAACCACGACCATGATTATAACAACCACGACTATGATTATCTCAACCACGACCATGATTATAACAACCACGACCAGAATATAAGTAACCAACGACCATGATTATAACATCCACGACTATGATTATAACAACGACGACTATGATTATAACAACCACGACCATGATTATAACAACCACGACCATGATTATAACAACCATGACCATGATTATAAAAACCATGACCATGATTATAACAACCACGACCATGATTATAACAACCATGACCATGATTATAAAAACCATGACCATGATTATAACAACCACGACCATGATAACAACCATGACCATGATTATAAAAACCATGACCAAGATTATAACAACCACGACCATGATTATAACAACCTCGGTAAACTGTACCACCGGACTCGCCACTGGCACGAAGTGCCCACGATCACTTGTCTATCTATCTATAGCATGTACAGAGCCCCCCATAGATGGTCAGTCATGATTGCACAATCATGGTGATTGTGCAATCATTGGTTTTGCCTACACACACTATTAACGAGACTGCAATCGTGTGGGGCACGCCCAGTTAAGATGAGTACAGTGGCCGCATGTATTTTTATTTATTTATTTTTTGTATGGGCATTAGCTCACCTGGGCACAAGCCATTTTTAATGGCTCTGTAGCATAGTGTGTGTGGCCAGTTGTCTAATTTCTCTTTGTTGTGTCAACTTTCTTGTTAGTCACATGCATACGTACATGGAGATCTCACACCAGGATGAAGAGAAAATAAACTCACAATGGCATTTTTTTATACATATATATATATATATATATATATATATATATATATATATATATATATATATATATATATATATATATATATATTTATATATATATATATATATATATATATATATATATATATATATATATATATATATATATAAAAATAAATAAATAAATATATATATATATATATATATATATATATATATATAATATATATATATATATATATATATATATATATATATATATATATATATATATATATATATATATATATATATATTATGTTGTCAGCACTCAGGATGGATGGATGGAAACTCTAAGGTGGTGGTTTTCTTATATAATATGTTATATGGTAGCCAGTCTGGTGCTGGAGATGCTGTGGTGAGGAGCTGCCCAGTAGACACGTTCGGTGAGTAGCGTGTTGAAGGAGGTAGATGGGGAGCTTGTTAGAGGAGATGTTGCCTGCTGGCCTCCAGGTTGAATGAGAGCTGGACAGCGAGGAGCTTGCTTGAAGGAGGTGTGTCCAGGAACCGAGGCCAGAATGAATCTTAATGGAGAGACAGAGCTTATATACACAGCAGCCGGAAGTAAACCCGCCGGTTTCTCGACTCTGTTTAGTGAAGACGTAGCAGGTGGCTGGTTGCTAGGTTACTGTGGGAATCTGGTGACGCCCCCTGCCGCCCGTTTTGTTGCTGGGATACTGTCGCAATAGGAATGCGGATATGCAGTTAGAGACGTCCCACAATATTCTCCAGGCGGTGTAGAGACTGTTGTCTGTAGAGTTGCTTAGCACATGTGAGGCAGAACGCGCATGCCCATGGAGACAACGGCGATGGCGTGGATGGCCTGTCGTCGCTGATGCAACTGTCTAGATACACACTCATCTGTGGGAGAAAGGGGGAAAAGGGTGTGTGGAGGCGATGAATGTTGTGCTTCCTCACGGCTGGTACAGAGTCGTCAGATGCGCCTGCTGGGTGGGGCCTGGGTCAGGAGCAGGCTGCGTCAGCAGAAGCGGATAGAGGGCTCGTGACAGCAGCTGTCCACGACAGCAGCAGGTGCAGGACATTAGCAGGGAGTATCTGAGGAGAGAAAAGGGTGTGTGGCGATGAATGTTGTGCTTCCTCACGGCAGGTACAGAGTCGTCAGATGCGCTGCTGGGTGTGTGCCTGGGTCAGAAGCTGCGTCAGCAGACCGGCAAGACTTACCTGGCGCTCCTCTCAGAGCAGCCAGGTCAACTGTTATGGCCCATACCAACTCTCCTGAACCCTACTCCCCACCGAATATCAACAAGTTACACGCCAGAAGTTACTATTTCATTTAGGAAAGAAAGGAACCAGTGTCAAACAGGAGGTGAACAGTGGTGAACAGTGCTTAAGAGAGAACAAATCAATAGTAACAGTGGTACCAAGTTGACCTTTCACACAGTGAGGTCCCAGGTACCCAGTGATAAACGGCCCATGAGAGACCCAACTACCAGCGATGTGTTAATCCGCTTCACGATAGGAAGGCTCTCCAGAACCACATACCCCACTCATATAACACCATCTGTGAGGAATTACCACACCACGCCCTCATAACACCATATGTGAAGGAGTTACCACACCACGTGAGGCCCCTCATAACACCTGAACATTCAGAGGAATTACTACACCACGAGGCCTCATAACACCATCTGTGAGGGAATTACTACACCACGTGAGGCCCCCTCATAACACCATCTGTGAGGGAATTACTACACCACGAGGCCCCTCATAACACCATCTGTGAGGAATTACTACACCACTAGAGGCCCTCATAACACCATCTGTGAGGAATTATTACACCACGGAGAGGCCCCTATAACACCATCTGTGAGAGGGAATTACTACACCACGTGAGGCCCCTCATAACACCATCTGTGAGGGAATTACTACACCACGAGGCCCTCATACCATCTGGGAGGGAGTTACTACACTACGAGTTTGCTGTTCAACACCTACATTAATCTGTATGTTCACATATGTTCCTTCACCATTCTCTAATGAAGGCTTTGTTAAAACCACCAATGTATGTAATAAGTCATTATGCCCACGTATATTAGCCTCGCTGCAGAACTTTTCTCAATAAACCGTTAATTACATATTACATATACAGGAGGGCTCGCGACAGCAGTTGTCCACGACAGCAAGCAAGGCGCAGGACATTAGCAGGGAGTACCTGAGGGAGAAAAAGAGGGGTGTGGGTCCCAAATCAGGAACAGAGCCGCGCAGGGGTTACTGCTACCGGGGTCTACGCCTGAGCAGGACGGGTGCAAGGTCGGCAGGATGTGGTGCCGGAAGAGGAGCTGCGTCTGCCAGAGTAAAGCAGAGCTGCTTCTGTGATGCCAGTTTTCTATGCTGCTTGAAGACTGAGCGGTCAGTTTCCTCCATCCTGTGTGAGTGCCAACCTCCGAGTCACCATTTGTAGGGTTTCGTGATATTATGTCAGCACCAGGGATGGATGGAAACCTCAAGGTGGTGGTTTTCACATAATATGTTATATGGCAGCCAGCTCCGGTGCTGGAGATGCCGTCGTGAGTAGCTTATGAAGTAGGTAGATGCAGGACGCCAAGTAGGAGATGCTGCCTGTTGCTGCCTCCAGGTTGAATGAGAGCTGGACAGCGATGAGCTTGCTTGGAGGAGGTGCTATGTGTTCAGAACCGAAAACAGAATGAATCTTAATTTATATACAGATTATATACACAGCAGTCAAGCAAAACCCGTTTCAATTCCGTTAAGAAGACAGAGCAGGTGGCTGGTTGCTAGGATACTGTGGCATTCAGACGCTCTCGGCCGCTGTTTGGTTGTTAGGATACTGTCGCATTGGAATGGATACGAGTTGTATATATATATATATATATATATATATATATATATATATATATATATATATATATATATATATATATATATATATATATATATATATATATATATATATATATATATATATATATATGCAAGTAAATCACAGAAGGTGCTATGATCAGGTGAGTACAGACTTAACCCTGAAGATGTGAATTACAAAAAAGCGCTTTTAAACCCTGTGTTTTCTTCTTCCTTATGAAAGCAAAATATATATATATATATATATATATATATATATATATATATATATATATATATATATATATATATATATATATATATATATATATATATATATATATATATATGTAAACATATATTATATGTGCAGTCAGGTGTTCCTTGTAGTAGAGAGTTGTTTGAGAGCCTGCAGCCCAGCTTCTGGCATGTGAAACGGACCGTTATCCTGTTGGCCCTGGTGTGTCCTTGCTTCGTTTTATATCGACTTCTGGGGTTCTTGCTTTGGTTGAGGGTCTGTCGGTGTCATCTTCACCATTGCAGGCCTCTTCGATCATTCAAATTGGCTCCGTCGCAGACGCCGTTGTTCTCTCCCCTGTCTCTGGAGGTTTTTCGTTGCTGCTCGGTCGGAGAAGAGTTTTACAAGTCTTCCTCAGCTTCCTCTTCTGGGTTTGGATGGGATGATGGTGGGAGGTGTTGCTTTCCTTTCCCAGATGCCCTTCGGATATGGGCCCACATTTGACGAGGGAGGTGCTGTTCTTCGGAGCACCACTTGAGCCAGCTTGCGCTTTTGATTTCTTTTCCTTCTTCCTGGTATCCTTGACTATGTCTTGCAGGAGATGTCTGTTTGTGTCCGTGGGTTCCCATAGTTTCTTCTGCCATGTTCACTCCGTGGCTGAGTTCTTTCAACCGACAGTAATACCAGTAATCATTGTACTGTCTTGATGTGGCTTTTGTTTTTGGAAAGCCTCCTTCTGCCGCTTGCGAAACGCCTCGACCAACTGTTGGTGGAGGGTTGTCTAACCACGGTGCTCACCAGCCGGCTGTGATTTTTCGCGCCACCTAGCCAGATGTTCCAAAAGAGTCCCAGTCCGCCTTTGCATTGTATCTCCATCTCCTGCGGAGCGCGACACCCACAGGCAAAGCCGCCACTGGTCAGCGTGGGGTGCAACCAAGAAACCGAAGGCTGCAGTGCACTTGAGACGAAGGTTAGATCTACCTTCATCCCCCAATGTGGGTGGCCCTCCGGCGTCAGAAGGCAGATCTCGGGTGTATCTTGAAATGGTGTATAGGTGTATCCATCTCATTTGTGGGGCTTACCGAGCTTAGAAAGGATGAGAGCGAAATCCCCAAGAGTGGCGTGGTCAGCGTCGAAGCAAATAATTGAGTCAACCCAGTGAGCCTTTGCCTTGTATATGTTTTAACAGTTAATTCCCTCTCTGGAGGGTTATTGACTGCCTGCGTCTCTATGTTTCCCCACATGGAAATCTGCATGACATCCGGAGGAGGGTATGATCGACTTGACCAAGATCATACACCTCCTGTCGACCCTGCGTGAAATGCCCTGTATGTCTTGAAACCACTGAATTTGAAACAGTGGTGTTCTTTTAGAAGTGTTTCTGTAGCAGTATAACATCAAGCTTGTCCTTGGCTGCTGCTTGGAGGTGTTTTTGTTTTTGATGACCTGATCATTCCAAAGGATGTTCAGGGTGCTGACGTTTTCCACCACTGTTTCATCGCGGACTTCTGGAGATCCTCTATGGATATGTCCAAGTCCGATCTCCCGATCAGGTTCATCTCCTTGTTCTGTGGTTTCAAACCGCCGTGGTTCGGTTCAGGAGCTGAAACGTCCACTTTCTTCTGAGCTGACGGTATCTTTGGTTCCTGGTGGCCTCCGCGTAGAGTAAAACTCGGCTGTCACCTATGAAGACCGTCATGGCTCCTCCACCGATTGGCTGGAGCTGTGGCTACTTCCCGCATGACGCTCCCCATGAGTATTTGAGCTGGTTTATTGATCTTGTGTCCCATTAGCCCGGCTAAGCCAGGCTGATACCGTATCACCTTCTGGTGCCTTTGTGTGCCTTTGCCTTCTCCGTGGCTATCATTGTATGCCGCTTGGGGATTATATAGCCTCAGTGAGGCCAGGAAACTGGCAGCTGCACCTTGGGTGTTGACCGGCTGAGGAGGTTGACTTTGTTGTTTTCGGTTTTGGGTCCCCACACGAAGGTACTTGGTGGGCTGGTGTGAAGCGGTGGGGCCGGTCTTGCTGTTGAGTCGGTTTGCCTGGACCTCTTTGTCCTCTCGGAGCATCCAGGGTTCCAGGAGGTGTTTGCCCCCGCAGTTGGCAACAACCTAAAGCAATTTTTCCCATTTTTCAACTTGCGAGGCAGGAGGTGCTGCTTCTGACCAGCGCAGACTGCGCAGATTTGTACGTGCACCTTGTCTGATGGTGCCCGTATTTCTGGCATCTGAAGCACCGCAGGGCTCAGGGACGAAGGGCCTCACTTCGCAGATCCCCAGGTTTTGAGGTCTATGGTGCTGGGTGAGCAGTGCGTAAGAGCATTTGTTTGCGGTGGCCGTCTTGTCGGACAGGGGAGAGCATCTCTCGGCTTTTAAGATCTTCGGGTGGTTCTCCAGGGGTAATGGAGGACCACCGACTTCATCAGTTTCTGGGGGGGTCCAGCTTGGTTGATGCAACGGTGGTGGTATTTTTCAGTAAGTGTCGAGGGTGGTCGGAGTCCTTGTCTTTGGGGTGAATAATCATCTCCCTTTTAGGTTGGGCCGCACTGAGAACTTGGCCAGTGAATTTAGCTTTCCATCTCTGTGATGGCGGCATATGTCGATTTTCGCGTCCGTTTTCGAGATCCGGAATTTGCAGTGCCGCTGAAGGTGAGCTGGTGGTGGTGATGGGTGCCTTTGGGCTGCTTGACGGCATTCGTTTCCCCAAAAGCACGTCGGCGTTTCTGTTTTCACCTCCGTCCAGTTGTCCTCAGTGGCGGTAGCAGTGGTGGTGGAGTTGTTGGAGTGTGGTGGCAGTGTTCCTACTTTTCAGGGCTTCGTTGAAGGCCCGTAACTGGTCCGCTTTCAGTGCGGAGCCGTGCCTGGCCGTCAGGTTGGCGGTTCAGGCGGTGACGGTTAGAGGGCGTACGCGCCCATAACCTGGTTTTTTTTTTTCATTTTATCAGATCCTACCTATTCCGGAGTAAATAGCAGAGGAATTTCAGCACTCCCACAGCCTAGATTGGTGGTCGAGAGTGGTTCCCGAGCTTCTCCCGAGCCCCGTTCAGGGGAAACCTACTCTAGTATGTGACTGCTCACTTATAGACGTGAGATGACGTTGTTCTTGCTTTTCAGGGCTTCGCGGAAGGCCCCGGCAGCTGGTCCGCTTTCAGTGGAGCCTGTCGGCCTGGCCTGGGTTGGGCGGTTCAGGCGGTCACGGTTAGAGAGCGTGCACCCATGCTAACTGGTGTTAAGTGATGTTTTAGAGGTTTTCTGTTGTCTGAGTTTCACCTATTCCTGTTGGAGTAAGTAGCAGAAGAATTTCAACACTCCCACAGCCACTTGATGCTGGGTGTCGGAGGCTCCTGAGCCTCTCAGAGCCCCTGTTTGGGGGAAACCTACTTCAGTACAGACCTCAATTTATAGATGTGTTTTCAAGCGTGTGCCCACATTGCGGGAAGGATGCGGGAGACGTTACCTCTTTCAGGGTGGAACCCGCGTTCATGTTTCCTGGAAAGACTTGAGAGCTGCCCAACCCTTCGTGTCCACAATCTCTGGAGGGAGGCAACAGTTACAGGGGGGGACCGCAGGACGAAAAACACTTTGAGGGTGCAGGTCCCTAGGCCAGAGCGAAAAAAAGGAAAATAGTAGAAGGAAAGAGCTCAAACCATAAAATGGGGAATATCGCGCTATAGCTGCCTCCAGCTGAGTGGGGCCACCAGCCATCACCGTAAGAGGGCAACTACCAGGATAAACCGAAAAACGCTCGTGAGATGT